TCTCTTGTTCCTCCCGTGCATTACGCTCATTTGATGGCCAATCGTGCGAGACACTATCTTCGATCTACCGATTCCGGGTCAGGTAAAAAGGACAATATTTCGTGTACCATCATGAACGTGGGGGATGAATTGGAAAACACCATGTACTTTGTTTGAAATTGTATCTCGAAATGTTCATTTCAATGTCATGGGCAATTCAATTAAAACCGACGTTTGAATTAAACAATGTTTATAAGTGTCGTGATCAAATGATATACAGTATATAATTCACGCTGGTATATCAAGATCTCAGTTTATTTTATTCTAGTATCTGCAAGCCACCAAGCCTACCTAATTTAATGATGTCTTTTTTACCGATTTATCATTATGTCTAGTATGAAAATTTACGTCATCATTTTTTTTTTCTTACAATAATAATATTCTATATTGTGAAATGGCTCATCACAAATTCCATTAACTTTAAACAATCATAATAATGAATTATCAATTGTGTAGCACACACACGTATGTGTAATTTTATTTCTATTACAATGACACTAGATCGACGAGTTACGTGTTCGGAGAAATGCATTATCAAAATGAATCAAATCTCGTTGCCTTATAAAATATGTTTCTGGTGACGGAATTTAATGAAACGAGGAGTTTTACCAAAAAAAGTTAGAAGATAATGGAAAAAAATTAGGAGAATAAAAATACTTTTGGGGTGCAAGTTCTTTAGTCTAGAAAACAAAGAACTCGATGACATTTCTCTATACGAATGCAGAAAATGCCCAAAATTCCCAACAAGAATGCAAAAAGGGGAGTCCATTAAAATATGAATGCAAAAGAATTAAGGAATTGATAAATTATATAAGTACTTTTAGGAAGGTGGTGATGAAAGGGGATGTCTTAAAAAAAATGGGGAATTCTAAAATGCGTGAGGTGAATAAATGAAATGAAATGAAAATGAAAAAAACCAATATGCCGGTTAATATTTTAAGAAAGGTTATTTAAAGTGGGGGTAACAAAGGGGAAACAGACAACCAAAAAAGTGTCAACGTTAAAACTCAAATAATAACTACCGTTCCATAAAAATCCCTCGAAATCATGTCCAGAGAACTAATTGGTTATCTTTCTAATGGGTAATTCGCCAAATAAAAATTTGGACATGTACTTAACAGCCCTCTGAGCGCCACCATCCCGTGATAACGGGTACAAGATAGCATAATTATGCGAGTTGTTTTCTTCGACCACAATTTCCGCTTCAACATCTTGACTTCTCGCTTTCTCGATGAAAAGTGTTATGTCGTCAAGAAATAGTTCGTAACTACCGACACATATCCACGTACGGGGTAGTCCTTTGAAGCGACGTTCGTATAATGGCGAAATCATGGGACATGTAGGAAGGAGGTTGGTACCATAAATATAATTGCTTAGGCATCGGTCAAACCATTGCTTGCTCAAGCAATCGTAAGCTTCGTTGGTTTTGAATGTCCTGGAAATCTTCAGAGCCTGTGAATTATTCCACCTGCATTAGATTTATCACGTGATAAACAGAGTTCGACAAGTGACGATAATATATACGTACCGTTAATACGGGTGATATAAGTAGGAGACGAGAGGGTTGAGGAACGGAGTATTTACTGGGATTGTTCAAGAGTTCAAAAGAAGCAATGGTAGCCGTGTTTCCTCCAGCACTGTCACCAGCTTTTTATTTATTTATTTCGGGGAAATTCAAAGTGAGTAAAATAGAAAGCAGATCATTGCCATAAGTGTGGAAATACAAACTTACCGAAAACAATCTTTGATGGACTGATTCCTTTCTCGTTGACTAAAGTGTGATAACATTGTAAAAACATATCCCTCGCAGCTGGGAATGGATGCTCGGGTGATAATCCTGTGATCGCATAATTGACAAAGTTAGCGGACGTATCGTCAAAAGAAATCCGGCATGCGCGACATAATTACCGTATTCAAGAGACACGATATGGGTTTTGGCACCATGACTAATTTTCCAGCTCTTAATCCAATCAACAAACACAACGAGTGATATCAAAGCTCCACCACAAACAAAGCCACCGCCTATATAATAAATTGGTATTAGTAACGCGTGCAAAACACGAAAGTCAGATAATAATAATAATCGATCTTACCGTGAGCATAAATGATCACTAAATCTGCATCTTCTCCGATCTCCGCTGTTTCCGCATTCTCACCAATCAAATAGCCCTGCCACTCAGTACCAGACACCGAACGGCACCACTGGTTTCTCAACTTGCCGAAAAACAGACCATTGGCCATCTGTTCATATACACCCGAGATATGGAATAAGATCCTTATAATCCATAATGGTAATGTCTCACAAGCAGTCTTGACGGTGACAGAGATGAATCGTTGACGTAAATCTGGTTGGGTGTATTTTTGCTTAACAATTTTACCCGTGATGTGTGATAAGAATGCGTAAGGTAGGCGGTGACCTTTGATTTTGCGTGAATCAAGAGATTCAAAGTTAGATATGGCCTAATCATTAGATGATTCGTGAAGAGGGACACTCACATAGTAGGACCGCACAGTACACTATTGCAAATATCGAGTTCATCGTCTCCTTCAAATCTCTCCTATAAGCAAATACCAACACAAATATAACGAAAAGAAAAAGAACCAGCTTAGAAATAGGAAGGTAAGAAACGATTTCTGTCAACATGTTACTATCTGTCGAGAAAAAACAAGAAGCGATGATTACCTGAATTATTTGTTTTTTTTTGTGGTTTTTTTTTAATTTTCCGTAGGTCTCTTTTTTAATCGGAAAACCTTTTTCACAACTAATCTGGTATATCCACCGAATTGATTTTCATCGGGTTCTTTATATACCAAAAAAGGGAGACTCTATAAAGATTTCGCTGACATGTGAAAATTAGCAAATTGAAATTGGTAATATAAATATCCAATCTGTAATAATGTATAGCAAGTTTTTTATTAACTCGTTTTGTATTTTTACCGTGCAGCGTTGTAAGTCTATTATCTATTGGGCAAAATGTAACGGTACAGTAGATGTTTCACATGTTTGTTAATTGTCGCACATTTATCCGACGACTTTTTTCTTTTTCCTTTTCTGAGGACATCGGGAAATTCCTCCGTCGCTAAGACAATTTCCCAACGAAATCCCTTGTTTATGATAAAACTTCATGAGAACGAGAGAGATCAACTTCGAGAGAACAATCATCGGAAATTTCACTATTTATCGAACATACACATTTTCATCAGTGCGTGTGTGCTGTGTGTTGAATGTGCATTGTAATTGTTATAATTAATGCACGATTACAAAATTTCAATTTAACTACGGAACGTAAGTACCTCAGAAAGTAACCCGATTTTCTTATGCAAGTCATTAAAAAAAGCGTGCATTACTTTCTGAGGTGACCGTAATGAATAAAAAAAAACTACGCCAAAATAACCATTTATTTACAAAACATTCCATTCATTTGTGCCCAAAAAAACGTGGAGAAAACGTATATACTGTACAGTACGTAATACGTTACGTATGCACCTACCTACACAATGAAAGAAAAAACTTCAGCAATTAGACAACAATCAACGAAAACCTGAAACACAACCTGTAATCTCCTTTTTGGATTTTTATCACAATTAACTTCCTATGGTAAATCCGTTCTTGCGTTTAACTTTGTTTGGAACTCGATGCATTGCCGGTTGAGAAATGACAACTATCAACATGAACAATAATTATTCATTCGAAGCTTGTTCTGTACATACGCGTTACGTCACATCTCTAAATCTTTGTCAACTAAATTGTAAACTCCAAAGTGTAGAATGATTAAATAACAAGAGCTCAAATCGTGAAACTCATTATTTTCTCACGTAATCCTCAAGCCTACTTACCTAATTCGTGGATTTGGTTTTAGTATCGCAAAATAGATTAATCACATGCTTGTGTTTTGTGAAATCCGCAAACAACACAAGTACAATAAAGTGTTTATATTGAAAATTACCAAATATCGATGATGTTACATGGAATGGCCTAAATTACAATGAACCATTTACGTTGTTCCGAGAAGAAAATTTACCGACAGATTTTCATCATATGTGTAAAGCGACTGGAATTTTTGGCCTGTTGGAACTGTTGATTTCGATAATTTACCAAAGAAAGAGAAATGGCTGTGTATGAAGATCTTCAAGTCTTGGAATCTTCAGCCTTGACATGGATTTACAAGAAATTCACTTGATAAAATGTTTTTCAGGGATCAATAATTATTCCTACTGGTGTTTTTTTTCTAAGCCACTCACCCTGATAATGCTAAGCTGCGTTGAGTAAATTTCCCGTTGCCTTGATTACAATTCCCTACGCCAGAAGTATGTCGCAGCAACTCCATCCGAATACGGAAATATGATTTTAATTATACAGCGTATACACGATGATGGATATAGGCTAACACCTCTCCGGTTATCATCGTTAAGACAGCCGGTTGTTACTCGTAAGTGATATCCGTCGTGCATATGGCATTCACACTTGTTTACCAATTTAATCTAAAATTCTTTCAAACAGATACTGTAAATACTGTTTATTAATTGCATACGATATCTCATACCAATGATAGCTCTTCTCAATCATCTTTAAATTACAGTAGATGTGTACTTACAGTATTTCTTGATTCAAAGATTTCATAAGTAAAACTATTAAATAACTTGTAAACAATAGCTTCCTAAAGTAGATATCATAAATTTTGTTTAAGGAAAAAAAATTCCAAATTATTAATTTAACGTTGCAATCAAAGATTTCTAATATTAATACAGTATACAGTATGGGAATATCAATTCTTTTAACACGTATAACGTATTAAAATTAAATCCTATATTGTTATTTTTAAACCAATGGTTTTTAAAAAAATAGATACCTTTTTTATTTTTATTATATTAAACCGTGGATCAATTATTATTTTATTATCATCTAATTATTTTTGATCTTTTATTATATCTTTTATTTCTTTTTTATTTAAAATTTCTTTATATTGTTAATATTTATTTATTTATATTTTATTTTTTGAAAAAGCAAATGGTTATCATGCTTTATTAATTATTGTATTTTCACTTGCAAAACAAGATTACAATATTTATAGCATGACATATGTTTCCTTTTGCTAATAAGAGTTTAATGCAAAACTTATAAAAAAATAACTATACCCTTATATTCTTTGATACTATTCAAGAAATACAAAAAAAAAAGAATTTTTAAAATCTATATTATTATCTTGAATAGTATCTAGCTACTTAAAAAAAAGAGAATATCTAATTATATAAAAGTGTTATAATCAATTTATACAAATTAATCTTCAAGTTATAATTAGGTTTGATATATCTACTTTTCAAATATGACTTGATATATAGCAAATAAAATAGTATTGGAAATAAATCTATATAAAGTAAAAAACTCTCTCCTGATCACGTCTGTTTTGTTAAAAATTTTCCTTTTATGGTAATTTTAAGCAAGAAAAAATGGTTTATTCTTTTTATCGCAAGTAAGTCCCAACTCAGAAACTCAAAAACTCAAGAATCTTCAAGACAATTGATGCAGTGGAATGGAATCTTTGATCAAAGTCTATTTAAGTTTGGAAGTCTTGCTTATCCTTCGGTTGCATAAGGAAAAACCCATGGCAGTTCTCTTTTCTTCAATTCTCTTGCATCCCTCCTTACTTTTATTCTATTATAAAAATCATCCATATCATTACTATAATACTCACTAAACTAAATACTTTCCAAAACACATACTTAAACAGAATTAGTGGGTCTACTATTAGTTTCAAGTCAATACTTATACATAATATTCTCATAACAATATTTGTTACACCATTTTCATCCTCCAAAAATTTCTTACTCAAAAAACTGAAATTAGTTTATCCCTCCAGATGATCAGTACTCTTCAATCATTCAATCAAATTTTATCTAATGATCAAAACAAAAACCAAACAAGCTCAAACCAGTTTTGTACTACAACAATAATTACAACAATAATAACAAATAACTTATCATCAACGACCATAACAACAAACAATATCACGCATACTCTATTATCTATAGCACACGGGGAGTTGGATAGTTGGGACCATGAGTCCATCAAGGAGTTCTTTCGTTCAATGCATAAATTATATAATATATTTGATTTAGTTTTAGTTATAGTCAATTTTATTTTTCTTTTCAATTTTTTATATTCAAAAAATCAAAAAAATTCGCAAAATTTCCTGAAATGGTAGGTATAGCCACTACTCAGCCTTATCTAGCATATTAATATTGCTTTTGAATTTTTTTACGATATTAGTTATATATTGATAAGTAGGCAAGCTAGCATTTAACTTTTCTGAAATAATGAAAGAGATATTGTTTCTTTTAACAATATATACCTTGTTATATACAAATCAAAATAAAGAAATAATGTTTATCTACTGGAGAAACCCTCCAAAAAATAAATCTATATAAAGTAGTTATAGTATTTTTATATAAAAAAATATTCATTATTAATTATTTTTTTAAGTTATAAAAAAGATTTAACATATTTATACTTTAAATATAATAATAATCTTTTATAAATAATATTTATATTGATTTTTTTAACAATATTAAAATCTAATTTTGTATAATAAGTCTATATTATTAAGAAATAAATAAGAAACTTTTGTAAAAAAAAACTCTTTTCCACTCCCCTTTCTATACTTGAAAATTTCTTTTTTAGGAAATTTTTTAGTTGTCTGCTCTTTTTCTTCATCTTTTTCCTTTCCCTATACTTTCTCTTCCACCTCTTTATTTTTCTTTTTCTATTTTTTTTCCTCTCTTATATATACTTTTTTATTTTATTTTTTATCCTCTCCTTTCTCTTTCCCCTTTTTTCTTCCTGTTAAAGCTAGGTTTTTTCTTTTTCCTAAAGGTTTTCTTCTTTAGACCTTTCTCTCTTTTGAAAACTCTGCCTCCATAACATTACCCTTCTGGCCAGTTTTTAGATGATTTTTTGAGCTCATGTGCTTCTAGCACATGTATTATGGAAGAGTGGAAACAATCTATGACTTCAGAAATCTCAGTATGTATATGATCAAGTTTTTTTGCTATAATAATTTCACCTCTCTGATTTTTTATTAATTCTTTTCTATAGTACATTATGCAGTAAAATTTTAAAGATTGTTTTTTAAAGAAAAATTGTGTGTAACTTTGTAACTCTTAGAAGCATTGTATAAAGATGAGATTTGTTTTAATTTATAGATTGTCACTATATATAAATAGTTTATTAGAAAATAATTATCAAATAAATACAAAAATCTAATAATATAAATTAATTTAAAAGTATATAAAACATTCAATACTTTTTTTTTTTAATGCGAGTAAGCTTTTACTCTAATTTATTAATTTTGCTATGAATAACATATATTACATATATTTCTATTTATACTTAAAATCTTACAATTAGAATTTATCCACAAATATACTATTCAAGTGCAACCTACCTATAAGAACTATTTTAAATGCATCAATTATTTTCTACATCTTCCAGTCTCAAATTTGTAAACTTTCCAGTAAGATCCAACCACCAATTGAATTACCCATCAAAGTACTGTATCTCTATCTCCTTCTGGTAGTTCATCTTATTTAAGACAGTAGATCCGAATTGTCACCATTTGGGGAAGTGAATGGAACCTATTGGCCAAAGTTTGTTTCAATACTTTTAAATGCGGAGTTAACAATTCAATCCTTTTTAGATAATGCCAGGCTTCAAGCATAGGTTGCTTATTTAAAAGGGTGCAACTCCTTCAAAGTCAGGCTAAGTCTTAAGGAGAGTTTTCCATTCTGACAATCGTTACCAACTAAGTACCTTCACTACAGGTAAGAATGGTAAGTATTGCTGGCAAGTCATCACTCATACTGAAGGAGGGTGTGTTGAAAGTCTTGCTGAACAGTTTTTCAGTTTTGTGGCCCTCTGTATTATATTTCTTTTATAGTCTTATGGACTATAGGAAAGGGAAACAACCTATTGTAGAACTGAGGATTGCACCAAACTGAACAACAATCATCATAACACCAACCGGATAATCATCGCACCATAGTATCTTTTATAAGAAATCACAAT